TGGTTCGAGGGCAGGCAGAAGGAGATGTTCGACGCCGACGACCTGAACTAGGTCGTTCGGTCGGCCGTGGCTGTTAGTTTTGGAGCCTGGCATGTGTGCCGCCCGCCTGCTGGGCTGCTGGCTATGTGCCGACGAGAAACACATTCATCTTGGAGGCTAGCATGGGTGCCGCCCGCTCGCTGGGCTGCTGGCTGTGTGCCGGCGAGAAACACATTCATTTTGGAGGCTGACTGTGTTGCCGGCGAGAACGTACTGGCCGTTGACTCTGTTGCCGACGTGACTAGGGCCGCTGGTATTTGAAACGTTGTTCTCTTTTTAATATGGAGACGGACAAGATGTGGCCAAAGGATGCGACTGTGCATTGGTGCACGGCTACCGCATCCTAGTACACGTCCAGATACGACTCCATCGCTCTACTCAAAGGGACAAAATTCGATCAAACCGAACCTTCGTTTGAAGTCGCGCCGTGGAGTTGGCCTTATTATAAGCGGATACTATTATTATTTTACTTGGTTTTAATAGGTAGGAGTGGCTGTGGGTGGGAGCACGCGCAGCACGACAGGGGAGGCGTATAGTAGACAGGAGACAGGTGTCCTGCGACTGCGAGCGAAAGAGACAGCCGACGGACGGGCGGGCGGGGTACAGCAAACAATGGACTGACACGCGTGTGGTCCCACATGCCGGTGGTATCTAGGGCCCACCGCCCAGAAGCACATGCCGTCGGTTCAATGCGTCCGCCCATGATTCTTGCTTGCTTTAGTTTTACCTCCCTCCGTTACAGAATAGATGACTCAATTTTGTACTAGTTTACAACAGACCTTTTTCATTTGCTTTATTAAATCTCGCTTCCATTGATTTGCTTTGCTTTGCCTTGTGTCCCCCTCCATCCCTAATTACTATCTTTTCTGTACTCTTATTGCTAATCCTACTCTCACTCGCTCATTATCATTAGGACAACATCGAGGAAGGAAGCAGTGAAGCGTTGTGGAGTGGAGTGATGAAGTGGCGAACCAAGGCAAGCCGACCCAAGCAGGCAGACAGGAATGATTCCGTCGGGCGGTTGTTTAACACGTTACGTAGAAATGCCTCAATCAATCAAAATCAGCATGCCGCACATGTATCTATCTGACCCCCCCGCTTTTCCCCTGCATCCGACCCCACCCCTCAATCATTCGCTCCAAGCTTCACTTTTAATATATACTTGCTAGTAGTACGATTTCTCTCTCAACAACTTAGCACATCTCCGATCCTCACCCGTAAATTTGCTGCGGCATCTGTCAGTCCTCGGACGCTGATATCGGAGGCCGTCATTCAACACTGTCCACATACATTTCAACAACTAAGTGGACTAACCGGACGAAATTAATGCAAACACGGTAAATTTTCCATATAAACATGATAAAACTATTACATTTACGACATGCTTCAACTAAAAGCGAAGCTCGATTCTAGAGTTATAATTTCGGACATACTGCTATTCTAAACCTAATCTAAATGATCACCGGCGCCCGTTCCCCGTGTCAGGCCAAGAGCCCCGAGAACTGAAGCTCCCGCATTTGCCTTTGCCTTCTTCAGTTCCGCCACCGCAGCTTGAACGACTGATCAGCCGCTGATTATCAGCCCGCCAAGCTTGGTTTCAAGCGGAGGGGAAGAGCGGTGGCTTTCCTAGGACCCGAGTGGTGGCGAACTACCATGCACTATTTTTCCCCACTGCCGGCGGCGCCCGCGGACATGTCGGCTTTGTGGTCGTGGCGGCGGGATGCGGCTTCGACAGAGCCAACGATGTCCTCCTCCTCTTCAGTCTTGCCCCACTCCTTGCCCGCTGCCTCGTCGAACTCCTTGTAGGCGGCCTCCAGTTCCGCTTGATGTTGGCAGTACCACAAGCAGGCGAGGCGGATCTCACGGCGGGACAGTAGGACTTGAGTAGTGTCGCCTGCTCCGCCACGTCCGTGTCTGACGCGATATCCCTACCGGTGTTGAGTTGCTCCCCCGCCTGCTGGTTCTCCTGGAGGAGGTGAAGGTTGTAGGCCGCATCGGACTACGCCTCCCGGAACCGCTCCTTCCGCACCATGTCCATGTAATGGGCACGGGCATCATCGATGATCATGGTGCAATGCACCGGTGGCGGTGGGGCCGACAAAGAGGGTGGCGCCCGCTTATCCGCGGTCGCTTTCTCCATTGGGACGTCGTCGATCGCAGGCTGCCAGCCGGCAGCAATGGTGGCTATCTCCGGCGACACCTAGAATGCCAAATCCATACCATCAGGTACACCACGACACGTGTTCTCACATTGTATTTGAGTGGTAATGGTACTATAGATATAGTTAGTTTCATCTCTAAACTTACTCAAACTTTGTAATTTTTAACTTGTAACAAAAGGGGGCTATACACACTACATTCATTGTGGGACGGTGAGAGTACAAGATATAACGTAAAAAAGTGAAGAGGCCGTGTTTGTTACAGACTCGTTGATGACACAGGAGTAAGAAATGATGCTTTACAGTCCTTTGTATAGTGTATTGAAGCCACTGCCAGGCAACAGTAGGCAGGAAACTAGGTACGTGAAGCGAGTAGTCCGTATGCACAAAGCTAGGTTGCACCTGCAGACGTACGATCCGTGTACTACTACTGTGCATAACAGCAGCCATCAACTCTGTCCGCTATTTTACGGCTATGATCACGCCGTACAGAAATCACACATAAAATTATCACCACTATCGTACGCAAAAAGCATTTCCGTTGCGTACGATACTTGTGTTAAACCACACGGATTAAAATGATGCTTCTTTTATGAGGAAAATTAGAATGGTGTTAGGATCGGACGAAAACTGTACGTACGCATATCATCGCTCTTTCTGTTGCAGACGTGACATATGACACCGCTGTGTGCAAGCGCAATGCATGGTTTGTTTCCACAACTTTGCTACTCCCTCCATTTCTAAATATAAGTCTGTTTAGAGATTTCATTTTGCTTTGTATGTAGACTCTATTAAAATATCTAAAAAGTCATATTTAGAAACGAAGGAAGTAAATTGCGCTGGTGGATTGGATGACCCAACGGCACCACTGCTAAGTGGCATCGCCAGCTGGGTTTGTTTGGTTCGTTTCATTCCACTTTGCCACCTACCTTTTTGGTTCACTCCCTTGACCCGCGCTTTACAAAGTCATCCTCAATGCAGCATTTTGTGCACATTGTCCTTTCGCCATCATCTCTTTTCTTGTATTTATATATTCCCTCCGTTCCTAAATATCTGTCTTTTTAAAGATTTCAACAAGTGATTACATACGGAGTAAAATGAATGAATCTACACTCTAAAATATGTCTATATACATTTTATATGTGATAGTCCATTTAAAATCTCTAAAAAGACAAATATTTAGAAACGAAGGGAGTAAAAAAAATAAATAAAGAGCATAATGTTGCCGCTTGCAATGCACAGATAATTATCTAGACGACAAAAAACACGACCAGTCTCTTTTCGCTAGCTAGTGCATCTCTAGTGATAGGGATTTCCATCCACAAACGAACTCTTGGCAAATTTTTTTTGAAATATGGTACTGTACTCTTTTTTCTTATTTCCGGTCTTTTGTGCTGATAAAAAACAACCCCCCCCCCCCACCCCCAGCTGAAAGGGGTAGTTACTCTGATACTACTACTCTTAAATACAAAGCACCTACTAAGCTTTAATATCAGTACCCTAATTGTACTCTTACAGATAAATAAATAGCTCACCAGAACTACGTACAAAAATGGGACAGAGCTAGCTACATAGGAGTACTACGTACATCTCTCTGGCTGGCACAGGTGCTATTGGTACTACTGCATCTGCTGCTGCTACATGAACATGATCAAGTGAGACCGGCCTCACACACTCGAAGTCCTCTCGGCCACAACAATCTCCATTAATGGACCAGCTTGAGCTTGTACAAATTCTCACACAGTAGACAGTAGGAGTGGAAAGTTGTTGTTCATTGCAACAGCATATCTAACTGGAAATTGGAGTCTAGTGCTGATGCATCATGCATGCCACAAACCGCAGACACTTGGGTTGCCGTCCTTGAATGATTCGCCACCGGCTCAATCAGTCGACCTTCACCTGCTTGCTCCTGGAGCTGAAGACGGGCCAGCCGTTCCGCCGGAGCCTACCGCCACTGCCGCGGCCCTTGGTCTTGGCAACCGGTTGCTTTCGGACCAGGCTTTCAAGTACAAACTTTTGAAGATGAACAAAGCTCAGGCTCGACTCAGTTGATTGCACGCACTGGAGGTGGAAGAACTGTCATGCGGCATAGGTCGGGTGTATGTTCATTGTGTTTGTGTCCACTTGATGTTTCATTTCGAGTCAGTAAAATCCACAATTTGTCGAAAAACATTGTGACAGTGCCTCTCCATTTGCAGTCCAAAGGGTTAGCCATTACTGTCATATACTCCTACATAGTACTACACACAAAGTAGCAACTGCTAAGCATTCATATGATCAGTGCTCTAACTGTACTCTTACAGATAAATAAATAGCAACCGATATGCATTCATATGATCAGTACTCTAATTGTACTCTTACAGACAAATAAATAGCTCGCCAGGACTATATACAAAGCTGGGGTACATAGAGGAGAACAGAAGCTGCCACCATCTCTCTGGCTGGCACAGGATCCAGTTTCATTTCTACTACATGCATGCACTAGATGCTGCTGCTGCTGCTGCTAGTGGTACACCTTACTTGCCTACTCAAGTGAGGCCGGAGCTACACTACACTACATCCTCACCACTTTATTCTACTGCTTCACAGAGCTTACTCACTCAATCCAGGAACCCTGCTCAACCACAGCAAATCAATGGACCAGCTTGTGTTAACTCTCACACAGTGGACCTGGGAAGCTGCTGTTTGTTGCAACAGCAGCATCATCTACCTGGAAGTGGGACTGCACACCACAAACCGCAGACATACACTTCGGTTGCTTCCAACCGCCGTTTGTGAATGATTCGCCGCCAGCCAGCTTGATCAGTCGACCTTCACCTGCTCGCTCCTGGAGCTGGAGACGGGCCAGCCGTTCTGCGGGAGCCTACCGCCTCTGCCGCGGCCCTTGGTCTTGGCCACCAGTTGCTTTCGGACCAGGCCTTGCACCGACATCATGTCGCGCATGCTGTCGTGGAGCTGCTGGCACTGCGCGTCGAGAGCTAGCATCGGGAACGGCTCCTCGATGAGAACCCCCACCTGAAAATGCACGAGGTGTTAGTAGCTGATGAGCTGAAGCAGACACTATTAACCAAATAGACAAAGCAGGAATAACATGATGTTTTCTGTCTTAATATCCTCCTGAGCATCAGGAGCCTATGAGCAGAAGAGAGTAAAAGAATTTATCGGCTTATTGCTCAGAATGCATACATAAGTCAAAACATTTTGCATAAGTTAGCTACTACTCCCTCCGTCCGGAAATACTTGTCCTACAAATGGATAAAATGGATGTATCTATAACTAAAATAAGTCTAGATACAACCATTTCGAGGACAAGTATTTCCGGACGGAGGGAGTATATCACAATTCATAAACGGGTTGAAATGGAAGCAATTTTTGTGGGGTGAAATAGGTAGGAGCTTACTTCCTCGATGCAGAATAAGGAGGCAGCACTGACAAAAGTAGCTGGAACGACTATCCATTTACATTCTGCCCATAGTATGATTGGAAGTGTGAGATGCCACAGGACAAGAAACCGCGAAGTAAGCCTAGTGTATGACAGAGGAACAGGAATCCCGATGATCTGCTCGCACACACAAATTCCTTCAAGGAAACAAGACAGTTTAGACTCCTACAACCAAAAGAAAATAACTGGCATTAGGTTGCAGATCACACGGTGACTGTTAGCACTGAAGGTTTTGCAGGAAGATAGGGCACAAGGGTTACCATGATGCTCCGCTTATGTTCCTCGAAATCTAACATCTGGAGACTCTGCGAAATGAACTCAATGATGCAACGAGGCCGGTGTTTTGAGCTCATGATAACATTCAGGTCGTCCTCTGCGAGCAAGCCCTGAAGGTCCTTTCTGATGTCGGAGTTGCTAGTGATATGACACTGAAACAAATAAAAAACAGAAGCGTAACGTTAATCGCGGTACAGTGCAGAGGAGTGAAAAACAGACAGGGACCTGGTCAAAATCAAGTTTATACTGCAAAATACAGAATATAATCTGAAGCATGAACAAAAAGAGCAAAGTAATAATTGGAGGAAGGATAGGCTTCCGTACGAATCTGGGGCATTAATTTTGTCAAGGACATGACCAATTGCAAGTAGGTTTACATCAATGTAAGCAAATCAAAACAGAACATGTCCATTGCAAGTACTTTTTTTTTCTTTTTTTTCGAAAAGGGGGGAGTCCCCGGCCTCTGCATCAGATTGATGCATACGGCCATCAACCATTGCAAGTACTCATCAACGGTAGCAGAACAAATTATACAAGGGCATAATAAATCGCAAGGGGCAAATGAATGAATCCATGCAGTTCCAGGGCAGTCCTTACTGAACATTTACTTATTTCAGTAATAAATCCATAGTGCCTTACACTCCAATACATGAAAAATTTCATAGAAACTTTCATTCAGATATCAAGCAAAGCTTTTCAGGAGAAACATAACGACGAAGTGTAGCATTCATCGCAGCACAAGGGACAGGAGTGAAAACAAAACTAACAGGCTAACAGCCATTTCAGAGACTTTCAAATCCAGTTTATACTACAAAAAACAGAATATAATCTGAAGCATGAGCAAGAATAACAAAGTAATAGGTGGGGAAGGCATATCATAGCAATCAATAATGGCCTCCACACGAATCTAGGCCATTAATTTTGTCAAGAACATGGTCCATTGCAAGTAAGTTGACATCAATGTAAAGCGAATCGAATTATACAGGACAGATCCATTGCAAGTAGGTTGCCATCAATGTAAGCAAATCGATACAGGACATGTCCATTGCAAGTACATGCTCATCAACGGTAGCAGAACAAATTATACAAGGACATAATCAATCGCAAGGGCCAAATGAATGGATTGATGTAGTTCCAGGGCAGTCCTTGCTGAGCCTTTACCTATTTCAGTAATAAACCCATAGTGCATTACACTCCACTACATGGTGATGTTCTTAAGACTCTTTCAGAGACTGTCAAATCAAGTTTATTCTACAAAATACAGAATATAATCTTTAGCATGAGCAAGAAGAACAAAGTGATATTTAGGGGAAGCATATCATAGCTTTCAATAATGGCTTCCGCACGAATCTAGGCCATCAAATTTGTCAAGAACATGGTCCATTGCAAGTAGGTTGACATCAATGTGAGCAAATCGAATTATACAGGACAGATCCATTGCAAGTAGGCTGGCATCAATGTAAGCAAATCGAATTATAGAGGGCATGTCTGTTGCAAGTACATGTGCAGCAATAGTAGTAGCAGAACAAATCATACAAGGACACAATCAATTGCACGAGCCAAAAGATACCAGTTGACATGAATGAATTGATGCAGTTCCAGGGCAGTACCGACTAAATCTTTACCACCAATTTTCAGTAAAGCCATATTGCCTTACACTCAACTACATGAATGTTGTAAAGACTCTTCATTCATACTCCTATCAAGCAAAGCTTTCTCCTTTTGAAGGACAAGCATAACCATGAACACACAAGGCACAGTGACATGCAGCAGTGCAGCAGTGGTGGATCTCTCTCACTCACCTTGAGCGCGACGGGGAAGGCGAGGATGTAGTTGACGAGCGCGCCCGTGCCGGTGTCGTTGTCCCCGCGCTCACCGGCGCCGCAGGAATGCATGACCATGCCGGCGAGCTCGGTGGCGCCGGCGAGGACGCGCATCCAGGCCTTGCGGCCCTCGTCGAAGCGCGCGTAGGAGGCCTCGGTGCGGAAGACGAGGAGGAGCGCGAGCGCGGGGGCCGTGAGCTGGTAGGGGAGGGAGGAGGCGGTGAGCGCGTAGTCCGGGGCGAGCGTGTTGTAGGTGGCGACGGCGGCGGCGAAGGCGGTGAAGGCGGAGACGGGCGGGACGAGGGAGAGTATGACCCGGGAGGAGAGCGACGAGAGGAGGTGCCGCAGGTGGCGCAGCGAGCTGCGGTGCTCCCGCCACTGCTCGTGCGTGTACAGCGGCCGCGGCTCCCGTATGCGCCGCTCGGAGACG